TTGGAGTTTGCATTGATGATATTAATTCCCAACATTTGGTATCAGAGCCTAGCTTCAGTCTAGGGTTTTTTTTATCCTTCATTGATTTAGGCATTTTGAATGTTCTATTTGGGTCAGTTCATTGTTTTTGGGCATTCTAGGTTTTCATAATTCGATACTGATTATTGTGACTGTGTGTTGCGCATGTTGTTGACTGATTGGGGTGACTCTGGTGATTTTGGTGAACTTTAGCTAACTTGCTCGACTGAGGGTATTGTCACTTTGCTTGCTCGACTAAGGGTATTTTTACTGTTTTTCAACAGTAGTTTGGTATAATTATTCCAAACTCTCCGATAGGTTAAGTTTGGTACTTTTACCATTTTATGCACTATTGCTTGGTTACTAAATTCTTGTGATTAATTTGTAACCTGAAAAAAATATTTACTTGCATTGTATACCTGTTCACTAGCCGAGTTTTGGATTACACCTGCACACATCACACTGAAGCTTAGTGATCGAATTGATTTATTGTTGTGCTTCATTTTTTGGGTATTAGTTTTTACTCTTCATTCATACTGTGTGTTGACCATTTCAAAATCTTTTCTGTTGTGTCCATGAGTACGGGCTACTCTTTTACAGAATCCGGAATGGGTTCGAGGGTCGAATTATCGCAATTCTTATAAAGAAATCAGAAATGTCATAAAATATGGTAGGGACACTCTATCGCAGGCTATTGTGGTAGATGCGTTGAAATCTAGAGAACTTACACTAAAAAGAGACAACAGAACTAATTCTAGAGAAGAAAGTTTGTTTGTTAGGGGAAGACCTGAAAAGAAAGAATTCAACTTCCATAACAAGAAGGGAATGGGTAAATCTAAAATGCGATCCAAATCTAAAGACAAAAGTGGTAAGAAATGCTACAACTGTGGAAAGTTAGAGCATTTCAAAAAAACTGTTTTGACTGGAAAAAGAAACAGAGAGACTTAAACAATACTGATCAAAACAATGCTGCTGTTGTTTCTGAATTTGATAGTCTACATGTCCTGAATGTGTCTGAGGGGCAATTTGATAAAAATTGAATCCTAGACACGGGTGCACCTTTCTGTGCCCTGAAAGGTCTTGGTTCCATACTATCGAGAGGTTGAGTCTAGGAAAGTCTACATGGGAGACAACAACTCTCAGAATGTGGTTGGAGTTGGTGACATAGCCATCAGGATGTATGATGGGGTTGTCAGGCAACTCAGGGAGGTTAGATATGTCCCTAATTTAAAGAGGAACCTCATTTCCTTAGGTACTCTTGAAGATGAGAGATATACTTTAAAATCCGGTAACAACGTTCTGAAAATCTTTAAGGGATCTCTGATAATTATAAAAGGACCTAAGATGAATGTGCTGTTCTATCTAGAAGGCAAAACTGAAACAACACTTGATTCGAGTCTTCTTGCAGTCAGTAAAGATAAAATAGAACTTTGGCATAACAGAATGGGTCACATTGGGTTTAAATGGCTAAAATCCTTAAATAATCATAAATTGCTTGGAAAGGATGAAATTGAAACTATGGATTTCCGTGAAACATGTGTTTTAGGTAAGTCCCATAAGGTTAGTTTTGAAACTAGCTCTCATAGAACTAGCAGTCCATTAGACTATATTCATGCTGATCTATGGGGTCCTGAGAAGCATTCCACATTTGGTGGAAGTAAGTACTTCTTATCCTTGGTGGATGATTACTCAAGAAAAGTTTGGATTTATCCTTTGAAGGCTAAGTCGGAAACTTTTGGAAAATTCAGAATTTGGTTTAAGTCTGTTGAGAATCAGTTAGACAAGAAATTTAAAACATTTAGAACTGATAATGGGCTTGAATTCTGCAATTTCGAATTTGACAACTTTTGTAAGCAGAAATGGATAACAAGACACAGAACCGTTAAATACATACCTGAACAGAATGTAGTCGCGCTCTTTTGACACCAACAAAATCATTTCCATAATTTAGTGAAAATCATCTACGAAAATCCAAAAGTGCTGTTTTCTCTAATTCAAGAAATTTCGATATTTTTATTTTATATTAAAGTTGAGCTAGTTAGGAACGAGGTAGTTTCTATGATTTGTTAAAAGCGTGGTTTACATTTTCATGCACTTTGATTTTGGTCTCAATAAAATGATTGATGTCACAACCTTCTCAATTTATTAATAAATTGAGTTGTACATTGTTAAGGACCGACGATATTGCTATGATATCACTTGTTATGAATTATATATATATATATATATATGCAACTATGTAGGGCGACGTACAAACTCTAATAGATAAGTTATAGTTGAAATAGAATGTCAAAAAAGGTGTTAAAATGCGAAAAGGGTCTGGGCTGATAACCCTGTCGCTCGAGTGATAAGTTAGCGACGGTTAATCGCTCGAGCAATAAGCTAGCGACTGGCGAGTGACCAAGTCTCGGCTGAAAATTTGTAGGTGTTGCTCGAGTGGCCAGCAGTGGTAGGCTAGCGAAAATGCGGCAACTTTTATTTCTGATCCATAATTTCAACATCTTCAAGTCCAATACAAATTCCAACTCATAATAAGGCTTCCAAATAGAATTTTAACTTTAATAAGACTCCAATATCATTCCAAACTGAATTCATCTTAACGTGTACTTCAATTAGAATTCTTCAATTATTTCAACAAGGAATTCGGGTCACACCCAAATTCCAACATACATAAAAACCACCATTAATGTTTCAAATTTCTTTATATCAGTTATATAGACTCGACGTAAGATTTGTAGTGAATTCTATAAAAAGGTTGAACATTGATGGCCAAATGATAATTGTACTCTATGTCGAATCCTCCAAGCTCTACTACTCATTCAGTAATCACTAAGAGGTTTCACATTACTTAAATCTATGTAATCGATCGATCAATTATTTATACAGCGAGGTAAAAGCCAAGATCATTCCTCTCTTTAAACCTTGTACAACAAGTGGTCCAACATTCTCGTTATCAACTCAAGTAGTAACTTTTCAGAATCTGCAATCCACAAACATCCCTTCTTCTAGAACTTTTTAAAAATAGACGACGCTTGTTAGCAGTTTTTAAGTAACACAAAATATCTTGTTTGGGCATTTTTTTTACAGCTATTTTCGCGTGTCTCTACATTTCTGTCCATCTATTATTCAATTTACCAATCTCTTATAAATGGCCTAGTATTTTCCGGTCTAGAAGGCATCACCCTAATAGCATGTCCCGTAGTCTATGATAAAGTTGGTTTTACCTTTATCTAGCAGTAATATATAGTTGTCCTTTGGACTGAGATTATTTTCATTAATAATTTTTTAAAAAGAAACTATTTCAAAAAGGCAAAATTATTTGTAAAATGAAAGTTACATAAAAGTAACACTAAAGCTACGAATATATTTAGCTAAATTTAAAATTAGTTAGAAATTTATGTAACAATTTCTTATCATTTCTACCTAGAAATATATTAAAAGATCATGTAACCAAAACATCACAATAAATGGTTCATTATTTCATATTTTTTTAATCCTAAATCTAGCTTCAAACAATATTAATGTGTTAGGACTTAGGGCAATGCTATCAGATAAATACTTCGTTGAGGGTCTTCAATAAGAAAGTATTTTATTTTATTTAACCAAAAAATTAGTATTAAAACATCATCACAAATCAAACTTATTTAGTATGCAGAATTGAATGGAACTAGAGCGAGACAATTTTTTACCAAAATCGATAAAGGTGGGCCAGCGGCGCTGCCATGGCCACATGACCCTAGCAATGGAGAAATACTCGGGTAGGCACCGTTCTACGTGATACAATCGTTGAATGGGGAGTCGCCACATCATGGATGGCCCAGCCTCATCCAATGAGGTGAGATCGTCTTGAAACTTGAGTTTGAAACCACGTAGGACGGAGCGACGGTCCAATATCTCTCGTGACAGTGTAGCAAGTTCCATATTTTATCTTTAAAAACTAGCAGCTTTATCAATAAAACATGTTTAGTCAAACACCATTTGCCGAAATGGTTAGAGGTTAAATTTGTCCTTTCAAAATTAGGCACCATAATATTTCATCTTAAAAATGAACGCCTCCATTTACACTAGATGCTGCTGTCCCAGGCGTTTACCAAATATAGCTCACCTAAACCCAATTAGGGATGACAAAAAAATCCAACAAACTCGATAACCACGGGACGGGGAATTTTGCCTCGGGACGGGGACGGGTAACGGGAGCCCCGCCCCGTCCCGTCCAATTTTATTATTATTACTTTTTTAAAATTCAATACTTTAAATGAAAATTTTCGTTAGTTCTAATATAAAATCACCCCACCTCGTCCCGCCTTAAACAGGTAACGAGGCAGGGATAGGTGGGGATTTCTTAGCCTCGCCCCCGCTGTTGCCATCTCTAAACCCAATTTAGCAAGTCTTTTTAATTGGATAGTGACGCCCAAACTTAAGCCCCTCGGTGACACTATTCTTCCTCGACAGCAAAACAGCTTTGAGTTCTTTGACTTACGTTTACTCTCGGAGACAAATACCACCACCGTTTCTAAAAGCTCAAAACACAAAAATTCTTTACAGAAATTCACACACAGTACATGGATATAAGATATATACACACAAGCATGCATTTATGTGTTCGTGTATTAGATTGTATGAATTTTGTTTATAACCGTCTTTGAATAAAGAAATGGATAGAAATTGTGATTTCTGGTACAGAATTGACCGGTGAAGGTCGTTTAGTTGAACCCAGAAAAAGAAATTGATTTTCAATATTTTTTGGGTTGTTAAGCTCTCATTTTCTCTGTATATTTGATCGGTGTATTTCATCTTCTGTTGTGGGGTTAGTTAAAAATTGTTAAACTCAATTTTAAGCAAAAACACACCTATCATTTATCTTTAAAGCGCAAATTTTCATTATTTTAGAGTTAACCAAATCACTTGAAAGAGAAGAATTTGTCTTGATCTTGAGTCTGAGTCCGATGAAAAGTTGGAATTTTTTGAGGGTTTTGTTTCGAATGGTCTTCGGGTCATGGTTGATATCCGCTGTAGTGTTGCCAGTAAATGGGTTGAGGCCATTAAGGCAGAGGCCTAAGTCATGGGGCGATGAGGTTAGTGTTGGTTTTTGGTACTCATTTTGTGATTAATTATGGTTGAGTTTCTTTTGAATTTTGTACTGCTACCTTATGTTGGAATTGTAATGAACGTGAATTGCATTTTTGAGTTGCATTTTTGAAGGAAGCGTTTGTGACTTGGTAAAAATCTGTACTTGCATCATTCTTTGTTAAGTTCAATTTTATTTTCTGTGGTCTTGAAAGTAAAATGCTGAAGAATTAATGGTTTGAGTTGTGAGGTATTATCAATATTATTGCATCTAAAGGATAGTTTCTTTTCATTTTTGTGTTCTCAAAACAATTTGGCATTATATGATTGGTTTTATTGACGGCATGGACTCTAATTGGTTAACCGTACTATAGAGCTCCGAACTAGAGACAAAGTATTTTATGAAATCTTAAGAAAAAAGATTCATGTCAACTTTCTGACTTTTGAGCTCTTTGAAGATCCTACAGACGCTGCACTACTGGGGGCATTGCTTAATATAAATTAGATGAGGGAAAAAAAGAGACATTTATGTTTATGGTTTAGAGGGTTGATTTGCACATTATCTGTAGAAGGCAAGTTGTTGATTGAATTTATTATTGTTGCGGTGAAATTCTTACCTATTTTTGGATCTGGCTGTCTTGTTTAGAAATAAATTCAAACTCAAGCGTTTGCATTTACAAGTCTTCTGCTATGTGATGTTATGTAAGATCGGTTACACAAATTGTTCATATTCAACCGTTATTTGAAATAATGGATACATCGTACATGTAAAGTCATTTCATTTTGCTTCCCCCTCTCTTCCGTCCTAATTCTTCTTAATACCTTGATTTCTAACCCTTTGCTTCTTGCAGTGGCTTCTTGTAAGCAAGGACAAGCATGAGTTGGGCCCATTTTCTTCTTGGAATATAACAGGAACATATAAAGGTTTGTTTCCGGCTGTGATACATTGATTTTTGTTCATAATTTCAAGAATCATTCCCCTTTTCGTCTTTTCCCATTTATTAGTTATTGATCATAGCGTTCATCTTTTTTCTTCAACAAATGTGTTTCCATGTGTTGTCTATAGCTGCTAATCTTTGTCATTTGAGATCAATTCTACTTATATTGGGGGATTGCAAGCTGATGTATATGCCAAGGAATGGAAACAAATGTTCTGACAAGTTAGCAAGCTTGACGCTCTTGTAATGCTAACTGGTCAGGTAGAGCTACTCCTAGCCCCAGCATCTGGCTTAGGGTGAACATTTGCTTCTTGGGTCTCCATTGTACTTGAAAATGGGAATGAGAATACCTTGTCACAACTTTAAATGCTAATGTATATCTTACTTTCTTGTTGATTGCTTGAGCACTGTGAGAACTTCTCATTTTGCAAACCTCTTGTGACGAGAAAAGAATTGTGTGCACTTGATGCATCTTCTGATTGATTGCTTTGTATCTGAGCATACAGATACCCCAAAACTTGGAGGAACACATCTGACGTTTATGATTATCTTATGTTTCACAAGGTAGCTTAAAATAATTATAATTTTTTGGGAGTGCTACTTCGGAAATATTTTACCATGTACACCCTCATTAACAATAAATTGATAAACCATTGAGCATAGTGGTATGAATCCAACTTTGGTAGCTGTGGGTAATTGGGTCCAAGAACCATAACTCCTTTCCAAAGCAAGAACACCCATTTAACTGACCCTTGTTTCTTTAGAATATGCGCACATTTGCCTTGAGATTTCCCTGAAACAGTACTTCCAAATTAATTTTTTAATGTTTTCTCTGTTGTTTTTGAAATACTTCTTTATTTGCTACATGTACGGGAGAAAATATCCTACTGGTGTAAAATACCCTTGTGGCTCACATATTCTAAAGTTGGTTTATGCCCAAATTTGTCAAGAGAGAGCGATGAATAGTAAAAGATATTGATCCAGAGAAGGAAGAATACAAATTTTGTATGATTATTGGATTCAACATTATAACTGGGTAAAGTACTATGGGATATACAGGGTAAGAGAGAAGGATGTTACTGAATGGAAGGATAGCAAAAACACAAGTTACTCTACTTGTCTCACGTCATTGTGGAAGGGCATTTCATGTTGAGGGAACTGGCCATATATGGAGGGAGATGGGTGCAAGATCGGTCTTTCGTCTCAGAGCATGTTTGCTATAAATTCTGATTTTCTACGGTAAATCAATTCTCATTTTCAACCACACATTCTTCAATAAAATAATATTTTCCATCACATCAATACTTTTTTCTTCTTTTTCAACCACACATTTCCCATCATATCACTATTCAAAAATCAATTATTCCTCTCATTCTTCAATAAAATAATATTTTCCATCACATTAATACTTTTTTCTTATTTTTCAACCACACATTTCCCATCATATCACTATTCAAAAATCAATTTTTCCCCCAAAAATCCCTACCAAACACACTCTCAAAGTATTTGTGTCATAGATGTGAGTAAGTTCTACCAGGAAAGAAATCATGGGTAAATTTAGTACACCATATCAGAGAAGATACAGTAATAGTTGCTTGTTGGTACAAGGAAATGATTAGGATCTTAATTTTATTAATCTGGATTGAGTGGGCACAATTTTAAAGACGACTTGCATCTCGATGCTAGGGTTTCTGTTTAAAGAGAAATGGATGTGTGGTGTCCATGCAATAGGAGTTAGTTGGAGGAAGGAAGTTTGGTGGTGGGTGAAGGGGATGGGTGGTGATAGGTTAGGCAAGAGGGAGATGTATGATCATATGATGGGCTAGTGCATTAGAAAACTCAATTTGAGACTAAATCATCTTCATGTGTTAATGATACACAAGGGAGATCTCAATAAGAATAAAGGTGGCAAGAGCGGTGGTTTTATTTAAACTTGGTAGGATCATGACGGATTGGGTTGTGACTCAACATATTTTGAAAGTTACCATGGTTTTTGGCAATTGCTGTTTTTTCTTGGTTTAGTTTTCCTCGGAGCTATAGACGGTTTCATCTGGAGTAATTGTAGGATAGATTTTAATTAAATATTTACACATCGAAAGAATAAAAATACACGATATCAGGTGATTAAGCATTTATGTATTAAACTAAAAAACTACACAATACCAGCTGAGTAAATCATTACTTCAAATAAAACAAAGATGTATTAAACTAAAAAACTACACAATACCAGCTGAGTAAATCATTACTTCAAATAAAACAAAGAGTATTTCAGTGTGCTATCAGGAAGTGCACTACACTTGTTTAAATAATTGCCAAATTCTTGAGGTCTTTCTTGGTACAATCTAATTTTTGATGGTCTTATAGTAATGCATGGATGTCAAAAAAAGTTAATAGTTTCCACCTTTGGTAATCCTTTATTTTCTGATAGCTCAATCCACAAATTGTGCCCATTTTCCAAGCTAATTAAGACTTGTCTAAATTTAATAGCTAAACCAAAATCGCACCTACTTAAGCAGCATGCTACTATTAATGAAGTTTTCTTTCTCAGAATGACTGATTGAGTTATTGATGCTTAGTAATTTGACTACAAATTGAGTAGACCTCTACCAGGTTGCATTATCTCATGTATTCTTTGTCTTTCTGTTTTTGTATGGATGAATCTCAGAACTAATTACTGGCAGTTAAGATATTACTTGACATCATGGAGTGACCTAGTTACTGGTTTTGATAATTTGGAAGTAGGTACAGTGCTTTTTCGGAATATGATTTCAAATTCTGTCTGGTAAAATTCTTTTATTTTTTTGGCTTCAAAAAAGTGTGCACTGTTTTTTAATGCTTTAGAAGTCGACCTAGAAAAGGAAAAGGGTCAAACAAGGGTGAAAAATAATAAAATAAAATTTTGCGGTGAACAGGTCAGTTCGTGGCTTGTTTTGATGGTTTCCAACTTTCGATTTTTTAACCTAAAATTGGATAGGATCGGCATTCCCAGTTTTTTCGGTTGAACCCTCCAATCTGGCCTTGCTTTGACAACATTGTTTATTTTAATATTCTGAACTCGTGTGACTTGAAATTTTGGAAGGATTGTATGGATTGGTTTGGTTTGCTACTATTTTTTGGATTAATTTATCTATTTTTTATGGAAATTTGCGAGGTACAGGAGATTGGAGGTTTCTAGATTCTGCAAATAGCTCTTCCAAATTTCCCGATTTTAAGAAATCAAAAGGAAATTCTGTATTAGAATTGATGAGTACACCAACAAAAATAACTGGTGTACATTATGTTCAGGTAATATGATCATTTTTCTTTCTATTCTTGGTGATGGTGCTGACACTAAAATGAACATTCTTGTCACTCTCTTATTGTGTGATTCTTAATTGCAAGTTTCAATGAAGTGGAGAGGCAAACACAATCATTCCACTCTTTCCATTTTCTCCCTTCTAAGCAGATTTCAATTACTATTATTTTCCAAGTTTTTTTTTTTATGTTTTTTTTCTTTGATTTTCTTTTTGGAGACATTCCAGAATATACCAAGATATTATATTTATTCTTTGTTCCCTTGATAGGCGCATACTATATTGTTCTTTGTGGAGCATGACATTTTGGTGTCTTTTTTCAGTCTGGCCCTGTGAATATGTCTAAACATAAACTCACAAAATCATCCAGTACCATATAAATGGGAAGAAAGAAAATTCTGCAGCATTATAGATTAGTATAGTGATAAAGTGGAGATTAACAAAGTCATCAACAAATAATTGTTTTTCAAAACTGGAATATCTGCAGGATAGTCTTCCATCTGTTGTTTTTTAAATGGAAGATTGTTTCATTCATCCATTTCATATTTCAAGAGTTTGATGTTTTCTATATTATTCTCATTCAAGAAAAATGAAAGAGTTGTTTCCACTTCCTAATGATATAATAAGAAGATGAAAATCCTTTGATTGTTCAGAAACAAGAGTAAAATGAAATTTAATGCTTTTTTCTGCACTTTTTCTCTTTAGCTTCATTGGCTTCCTAATATCACGTGACAGACTTTGATCCTTTTGCAGTACTTTGCATCATCAGGCAAGTCTGTTATTTGTTTCTTGTAAGAATGTATTGATGATGTGTTCATTTGAGAGAGTCAAATCATATTGAAAATCAACTTAAAAATCTGATATTGCCATCATGGGCATCAATTTGTTGATAGAACATGTCATCTTTCTTCACTTTATGTGCTTTCTTAATATAATTGTCACTTTACAACAGGGGGTAATAATTTTCCATGGTGTGTTTGATGATGAACAAGATGTTGGCAGTGCTAAAATTAGGGTAGAGGGTGTATACATTTGGCCTTTCAGACAACTTCGGATGATTGGTAACAGGTAGTTACCCTTATATATGTATAATTTAGTTTTAGTTCTTGTTCTCTACAATAGGGTCATATGCATACTAGGAATTTAAGTGGTCATTTGGAGCATGGTGTGCAAAATGATCTGTGGCTAGGATTGGACTTATTTGAATTAAATGTCTTCTTTAGAAATGTTCCAGAAAAAAATTACATCAATTTTATCTAAATGGATGTATATGGCACTTGATTTTATATACTCTTCTCATGCATTGATCATACATGTCATAATTAAATTGAATACAAAACATATTAGGGTTACGTATGGACTTGCTCTAAATCTTTCTTTATATTAACATGTGCAGCAATGGTTTTGTCACTATATTTCAGACTTCTAAACTTTCTGTGTAACACAAAAGATTGCAGAATGCTTTTTGGGCAAGAAAATGTGATAGAAAATAATAGTTCGTGGGTCAGCGACAATTTCAATGTCTAAACGTGCTGAACCAAAACAGACATCCTTTTTGGTCCTTGATAATGATTTATTTTTCTCTTCATCCTCTTTTGCCTTGTATGTGCATATTCTTGAAATGTAACCATTCGCCTTTATTTGATCAATTCTGCATATTCTAAACTTGCTTTTTTGTTCTCTCCTTATCACATCTATGTTCTTTTAATTCAGTGTTTTTGTCTTGCTGACAAGCGACATGGTTCTATATTTAGATCAAACATCAGACTAAAAATTTACATTGTGCTGAAATATGAGACTTTAGATTTATGTAATCACTTGGCATCATATTTTTTGTGAAAATTTTGATATAGAAATTTATACCCATCAAGAGGATTTCATCTGTGGACTGACATAGGAACATAACAATTTGACAACGAACAATTGAAAACGGAACAAGAAAGAGAAAAGGGATCCAAGAAGAGAAGAAGAAATTAGAGCAAAGAGGAAATCAATTTATTCATATATTCAAGGGTACCTATTACAATAAATAAGCCCTCTTTTTATAGAGCAAGTAATCTAAAATCAAAAGAACTTCTAATAAGTTAAAACTTTATCTGAATATCAAAACTAAATTAATTTTGTTCTGCTTTGTTTGTTTCTTTCTTTTGTTCTTTTTATGATAGATCCATCTCTATAGATGCTATTCTGGAGCATCATCTTCTGATACACACACACACACACACACACACTATTTTTGCAGTGGAAAAGAAAGTGAATTTGGGCAGGAAGATGATTACATATTATCCAATCCGTATCACTTGGTAATTACTTTTAATTTGTGATATTATTTTGCCATTTACAAGTTTACGATGATATCCTGATTATTTTGTATGTTATTGGCAATAACATCTTTTGGCTTTCATTAATGCAATACACATGATGCTTGATGATGATCATGGAGATTTGACATTTGATTCATCTCTGTTTTTTTCCTTCATTCAAGTAGTACCGAGTTTCACTAGAATTATCTACTGGCATATGCCATTATGCATCTAAATCCATGAATGATCTTATAACCCATGTTGTACTACTTTGGGAATTATTGGATTTGTGAGGTAATTCCACCTTTTCAAGTGGCGCCGCCTATTTTCTGAGTTTTACCACCTTTTGATTGGTTATGCTCGTTACTAGTATTGAATTTTATTCTAATTGAATTTGGTAAACTTATTTCCATCTGAGTAGTGAGTACCCTGACAAAATGTTTGGCTAGTTCTCTGACGCATTATGATATTAATGTTTATCTTAAACAATAGGAAACTTGAGCTGTTGATGATTTCTTCTGTGTCCTAAGTTATTCCAACCATTATTAGTGAGCCAATTTCTAATTTTCTTGTTTTGAATTGCTTCTGGCATTTTAAAAACTGCCTTCATCCCGTATCTATTACTACACATAGCATGTTTAAATGTCCAATAAAGTGGCTTCATTTCAAACGGGCAAGTAAGCTATTTTTATCTTACCAATTACCATTATGTCCACACGAGACAAATTTGAAATCAGAGCAGTTATCATTCCATCAAAATTTTGAAATACTGTTTTAAAATAAGGAAAAATAGGCAAATATACAATTCAAATGTCAATGTAACAGCACTATGCATTAAAGATTACTTTTTCAATTCTAGAGGAATATCTGTCATTTTAATTATTTTAGTCTCACGATTTTTGTTTCCATTGATTTATATAAATGAATAATCAAGCCATTCGAAAATTGAAGTTATGAAAATATATGGACTTGAAATAAATTAATTATCTGGAGTATGTAGGTATAAAAAGTACAGATGATGATGAAAGTTGATCTAACTTTCTTATCTATGTCCAAAACTTATACCTTGGGAAAAAAAGACTGTACTTTAGGGAGTATAATTCTAGTTCTGAGCATGTCTTCCCTCACATGATTTTATGTGTGTTGTACCAAGTTTATACTAGGTTAAATTGTATCTACAATTTGGTATGCCTCTCTTCAATGGACATTTAAGACACTGGTCAACAGGTGCGTAACTAAAGATTTTGGAGTTCACTCTAATGTGTCTAAAATATTTTGTTTTTTGTGTAGCTTGGAGTTTTCTCCTCCCAGGTGTTTCAGGAGTCACCTCGAGAGAAGATCTGGAAGAGGAAACACTGTAATTTTGTGTTATTATGAGTTGAAATTTTTTAGACTCCTGTTTGAAGTTACTAAAACTTATTCCATTGCAGCTCCGATATATGAAATGGAGAAACATTGCAATATTGAAATTGCTGCACAAATCTCTCGTGTCTCCTCCACGCAAAATGGTAATTAAGCTTTACAAAGTATATGAAATACTCCCTTTCTGCTGCTTTTATCCTCAATAGAGGAGTTAGCATGTCTTAAAAATCATCTTTCCGTGCTTCTTACTCTTTTGTCAATCTTCATGAATACTAGTTGGCTTGATCTGTAAGTTAATGATGTTTATATCTTTGAGGTGTAGCATTGTCTTCTAATACTGTTACTTTTTTCACAACTACTAAAGCAAATGTGGCCCTTTTGAGGGATATGTGTCATCTTTGTGCTTGTACAGACTTTGGAGATCTGCCAAAATCAAATAAATAAGTAGTAGTGACTAAAGTTTGGTTGCTTTGCAACTCTTCTATATTGCGCAAAAATATGTTTTGTTTGACGTGTATTGTGATTAGCATATAAGCCTTCCTGAGCCTATATACAGTTCCTCTCACACTTGAACTTGATTCAGTTTACTAGGGCTCAATCTCAGCTTCTCGAGAAAAAGCATACAATTCCCAGCTTGGCTTGCCATGCTAAACTATGTCCTGCCTTTAAAATATCTTTGCACATTTAGATGAATATTTCTAGTAGAAGCTGGTATAATTACACTTGACAATTTGGAAGTTAGGTAAGTTCTTGGTTCTACATGTCTAATTATTCCTACAACTCTTACTCCCTGTGGTAGTGTTTTACTATGAAACATGAGTACCTTTCACCTGGATTTTCTGTTTGTGATAGTTTGAAAATTTTAAAATGAATGAAACAATGGCAATATGTTTTAGTAAAGTTGTTTCTGATGCCTGTTAAATATTGAAGATGTACAAAGATACTGTTGCACATATGCATGCATCTTTTGGTCTCCTCGAATTTGATCTTTGGGAATAAATATAGGAAACTAAGGAGTTGTTGCATGGGATAAATATTTTCTGATTGTTTCATGTCATCCTTTCTTCGTTCTTTTTGCCTTCGGAAATTTTATGATAGTTTGATTTATAGAGTGTTGAGCTGGAAATGAGGTACTATAAATCTTGGTGAGAGATCTAACTTCCTAATGTGAATGTATGTCTCATCAAACCCCAAGAAGTATGTAATTTCTTATCAGGGCTCCATTTTCCCTGTCAGTTCTCTCTTTCTCTCTCTATGTGTGCGTGTGTGTATACTTGGTTTCATGAGTGCCCTAATCAGCTTTCTAAAATCCTATCATACTGACATTTGAGTTATGAGGTTATTGGCTCATATAAGAAATCATACTAATTATACACCGATAATATGTTGTCCAATACCTTAAGTTACTCTACATATGTTCCATGGAAAAACTATGTATTGCATTCTAATATGGCCTTCCAAAACTTGTTGTATACAGTTCCATGGCGTATTCTAGTTTTTATTGCATAAATCTGCATTTAAATCATCTACTACAAATATATTAATTTATGTTGTGCGGTACTTGTTCTAGATGGAGATCATGATCGGTATCATCTAGAAGGATTAATGGAAACACCTTCTGTGGATGATGATGGAGATTGCTTCTCCCCGATGCTTTTAAATGCAACTTCGGTCGATGTTGACGTTTATTACAATAAAGCAGTTAACTACACATTGATGGTCACCTTTGTATCCTTTACGTCTTCTTAAAGTACATATTGTTCTCTAAATTGAAAAAGGGAACCTTCAGATTGCTATCGAGTATCGACCCTTTTTGGTTGGATTCTTTGACCTTTTATGCAATAGATCTCTTTTCTCCAAGTTCTTTTGTTGATCCGGCAAATGGAACACAGTAATACTCATTCTGTAAGATCTTTTTTTTTTTTTCCATAATTGTGAAAATTCTCATTGCACATGTTAATTACAAATGTTAATTGATACCTTTTCTTTTGTTATTTTAAGTGACGTATCGACCACTTTTTCAAAATTTTCCCCAGGGAGCTGCCAAAGTTTCCATTCTGATGATTGGGCACCAGGCTATCATGGATGCATATATTTGTCTTCTACATCTTACGGCAGGGATTTTAGTTGGTATGTTTAGGAGTCATTGTATTTGTGTATATAATTCTATTTTGCTTTACGTTATCTTTTATAGTATTGGTTAAGTCTCAGTTTTATACCATTGGATGCTCTCTCTATCTCGATAATGTTGTGCATCTATGCCCTCTTTATAATAATTTGACCTTGTACTTTTCTTTTGTCAGCACATGCAAGGATTTGGACATTGCAGTTAACATGATTAAAATTTTATATGCAGTATATAATTTAGATATGATTGACTTCTTGGTCCACAATGTGATATGCCCCTACCGTGATTTAGAAAATTTCTACTTTCTATGATCATGGTCTATGAGGCACCGATATGGACACGTGTGTCTGACACGTCAACATGCGATTTTTCAAAAAAGTACAGACACGACACGTTGATTAAATTCTTTAAAATTCTTCATTTATATAGTATAAATTTAGTTTTATGCTTGTTTTTAATTTTTCTTGTTGAAATCTTTTAAATATGAGTACATATTTATTATTTACTAATAACTTTGAGTTATAAATATATAATATTTCTAATTAAAAAAAAGGAAAATAATTATAGTAGAGTGTCCGTATCCGAGACGTGTCCTTTGAGTTAAAAATATATAGACCTTGTCCTCATTATTTCCAAAATACATTTTTTTTTCTCTTCTTTTCAACCACACATTTTTCAATAAAATAATATTAGAAGCAAACCCAAAACTTTCCCTTATTTTTTAACCACACATTCTCCATTAATCTACTATTCAAAAGTGCATTCTTTGCCAAATAATGGGACTTAAACAAGGGCATAATATTTCTAATAGAAAAAGAAAAATGATTATGGTAGAGTGTTCGAGAAGTGTCGGACACGGATATATTACCCTAGTTGAAGTGTCCGTGTAACGGATGTCATTGTGTACTTTACAGGTACGTGATATAGAATTCTGTTTTAGAGCATAGAATTCATTAGTAATTGAAAGAATTGTGGCGGATAAAACTATTTATTCCTTCATGGAGTGGGGTAATTCTATGATAAATGCAGTTGGGTGCTGCAAGTCATTGTTGGTGGCATTATTCAAGAAGAGAGAATTTCTCCAAATGGACTTTGATTTCATGCAATCCATATTGAGACTTATAAATAACTGAGTCATAGTTCTCTATATTTCAACTAAATGCTGGTTATTGTGTCTTAACCCCATTAAGGTCGCGTTGATGTTTTTCTGAAAAGAAAGATAGAAAGTGTCAAATGGAATCTAGCTATCCATCTTGCAGCTGAGTCAGAATGACCTTTACATAGATTTACTTTTTAAATACTCCTGTTGCTGGTACTGTTAGCATCTCTTTACTCTTCACTTCTCATAATTGTAAGCAGTACTTGTGGGTTACTTCGCAGACACTATTTAAACAATGCTATTATTTTGTTTCCCATTTGTTACCCACGAATAGCTTTCTTTTTTTATTTTGCTATTCTTCTCATTGTTAGTTATCCAATCACAACTATGAAGTAAAAGCTTGTGCTTGCTTGCTTACAGAGTCCCTATTTAATGCTTTTGCAACTGCGGCATTTTTCAAGTTTGTGGTCTTCTCTATATTTGAAATGAGATACCTTCTCGCTATATGGAAGGCAAACAGGCCTATGAATAATGGGGAGAATTGGGAAGCAATGAGGCATGAACTTTCAGCTCTTTATAGCCGTTTCTGTAAGTATTTCTCCTATTATCCAATGATTTAGAAGTCTCCTTGTTTACTTGCACCAAAGAAACTCTCCAAGTCATATTGCATTCAGTTGATTGCATGTAACTGTGGCCTTTATGAATTAATTATGGAGCCACAGCAACTGGATTTTTAAGCAAGTAATTAGGATTAGCATTGAATGGTAATAATTAATTAGACAGGAATGTATGTATGTTGCAATCTCACTGAAAAGAAAAGATAAATGCCGTGGCATTTTATGTAACACGGTGAAGAAGGAAAGATGCTATCATTTCGAAGTACCCTTTTAGTCCTCAGTAATTCTTCTATTGTCAAATAGAAATGGCTTGTTTCCCAAATGTTGACACGTTTTAGAAGTTACACTAGGTAACCATAAAAGTCCAGCCTAATAAGAAAACCACTGTAACTACAAGGTGTAGTTGCTCTGAATGAGATCTAAAACTAATCTTCTAGAAACCTGTCGTATTTGATTCATTATAGTTTGGTTTTGGATCTTATTTATTGATGATCTCTGAACATTTCTGAATGACTGGTATACTAATATATTGTTTATTTTGCAGATGGGATCCTTTTGGGGGGCATTTTGGTCATGTATGAGTTTCTTAAATATTTTCGCTTCATTCTCCTCCTTCTGCACTCATTTTGGATACCGCAAATAATCATCAATGTAGTTCGTGACTTGAGGAAACCATTGCATCCTCATTACATTTTAGGAATAACAATCACTCGGCTCGCTGTTCCATTATATGCATTTGGTTGTCCACATAACTTCATGCGAATAGAGCCAGACAAGAAGTGGTGTGTGTGCTTGAGTATTTTTATGGGATTCCAAGCATCTATACTTCTTCTACAGCATTATTTTGGATCTCGGTGGTTCATTCCCCGCCAGGTTTGTGTAATCTTTATCATTTTTCCATATGCATAGTTACTTCCACAGTTCCATTTATTAATGTTAGTTTTCAGATTGCCTGTACCTTTAATGCATTTTTGCTGCATTCTTCCACTTACCCCTGATTGGTCAACTAAGTAGTTAATGCTTGCATAGCCTCGTACTTCGTCCATACCCGTTCATTGAAATAAGGTGTCATGATTGTTTTATGCTCATTTTATCTGTCTCGTTGAACCCTCAAGTATATTGGCTCTTGTGCCCTCTTTTTCTACTAATGTTCATTGAAGACAAATATTTCTACATCACCATGCATATCTCGTCGCTCATAAATACTGATCTATGTACTCTTACAATTTGATTGCAGATTTTACCTGAGAAATATAGCTATTATAGAAGGTTTGATCAGGCTGCAAATAATGCCACAGACTGCGTCATTTGCATGACCACCATTGAGCTATGCCATCGCTCCAATGATTGCATGGTATCATATCATTTCATCCTTTTTCGTCATTTTTAGACCATTTTCTCTTAAAACTATGATTTTGACTTCAAATTTTTCCAGGTAACACCATGCGATCATTTCTTTCACTCCAGTTGTTTACAAAGATGGATGGACATTAAAATGGAGTGCCCAACTTGCCGGCGTCCTCTTCCACCATCCTAGGTGGTCGTTCTATTCTTAATTTCTTATTCAGATTAGCAACGTGGATCAATTGACACCAACCTGTTAATAGTGGCTTCATAGGATGTAGATTATTCCATCACGCACTTGAGTGCAGATCTCCGCCTTTCATTTTCTGAATCTTCAAGAACTTCTAGTAAGAGTTTTTCTCATTCAGCTATAATCTCAAAACCTCGAAGGCTGCCCGAACATGCATAGGCAAGAGTTGACACAAAAGTGGCATAGTCTTCGTGTTGTATATTCCAGTGTTTGTTGTAGAAATTCGATAATTTTCACCATTTTGTTTGTATTTTCTTGCCAATTATAGATTTTTACTTAAAAATGGCTGATAGGTTATGGAATTGTACTAAAATGTACTTTTTAAACTGTGTTCTTGTAATCACACAAGCAAAGAACCAGGTTTATAACCCTTTTTATGATTTTCTTTTCTTTATTCAAGAATATGGTAGGATTAAACGATCAACACAATTATGAATCTCGAGAACTTTCTATCAAATTATCAGCCATTTTTACTATTATCAAAACACTCAGCATAATTTCTCAAATCCTTAATAATGTACAAGAAAGATAAGTAGCAATGGATGCCAATTATGTGACAAGACTTGTATTAAAACTTACATTGCTATAATATATATATAGAATACAACTCACATTACGACTCATTATTTTGTCATTTCCTATCAAGCTGGAATGATTATAACATGTGCATGTACAACCTAGGACGGTATATACACACCTAGGATGGATCTGGTCACAGCGACTCCCTTTTTGAGGTATCCCTTCTCCCAAAGTTACGGGACTGTTTGACTGAGATTCTTGAGAGTTAATGGAGAGAATTACTGCAGTTTTGGGTGCAATCAACTGGATGTTGGTCCACTGCATCACATTCTTTCTTGCTCCTTTGCTGAGGCTTGTCTGGCAAACAGTTTCGACGATCATCAAACATAATCCCTTTCGAAGTTAGATTTCTACAAATACCTTCTTCTTCACAGAAGAAGTTGTAAGAAAACGTAAAATTCGACAAATTAGGCAAACAACAAACTCCATCTGGTACTATTCCAGTCATCATATTGTGGCCTAAATTCAGTACCTCCAAATGAGCCAAACCTGCAATGCTATAGGGGATTGGACCAACAATTTTGTTATAGCTAACATCAAGTACTTTTAATTTGTATAGAAATCCAACTTCTGGTGGTAAACAACCTTTTACGCTAGTATTGATCAGTAATAATTCTTCTAAAGTATTCGCGAGATTTGCTATACTTGGAGGGATGCATCCTTCAAATTTGTTGTTGGCGAATACTATAACGGATGCTGAACTTGTGCCAAAGTTCGGTGGGAGCACGGAAGTGAAGTGATTGTTATTGATAAATATGGCATCGAGTTTTTTGTTGAAGAGTTCGGAGGGCACTTTCCCTTCAAACTCATTGTAGCGTATGTCAAGGTAGTTTAGTGAAGGAAGCGATAGCACGACAGATGGAAAAGGGCCAACAAATCTGTTGTTACTGAGATCGATCTCGTAGAGTAGAGTTAAGTTCGATAAACTTTGTGGGAGGATTCCACAAAAGCGATTACTGTTTAGATGAATCAAGGTAAGGTCAGTTAAGAGGCCAATTTCATCAGGCAAGAATCCGGCTAGGTCACAGTGGTTTAGGTCAATACCAGCAACAACTTGAATTTTCGTGTTGTTAGGACATGCAGCACAGTAAACTCCTGAGTAGTTGCACACATTTGGACCATCCCAGTTGGAAGTGAAGTTGTTCGGATCGGAGTAGATCACACGCTTCCACGCTTGGAGCGCGATATAAGCTTGTTGAAGACTTTTGTTTGACATGGCCTTCTCGGGGAGGCGATTGTGGTGATGCTGGTGGTGGTGGTGGTGGTGGATGGTGGTTGTATAACCATGTTTGGCAGCTAAGTTGTTGATCAACATAGGAAATATTAGTAACATGAGAACCAAGGCACCAGGCGAGATGGAGGAGTACAAAGCCATTTCTAGCTAGCATAGTCTCTAACATAAATCCTTGATTCTTATAGGGATTTGAGGGTATACAGTGCTTTTTACAACAACCAATTATAGTGACTTCTTACCATCACTAATGGCTGCCAACATGATTATGTCTTTACAATTTTCCAGGCTTCTATTGGAAGGTCTGATGTTTATATGATATATACATACATACATATACGACCGCACATATATAACTGATAATAACTGAGAGATTTATGTGCAGACACGAAAAGGACTTATCTCCTTCCAGGTAATTTTCTCGGAAGTTTGAAGTGGGAACAGAGAAAGACAGCTTCAGCAGTCAGCACCTTAGTTAAAGGGTGAAAAGGAGTTGAAAAACATCACTTTCCTTGAATTTGAAGGAATAAAGAGTACTAAATTCAACTTTTGTTAGTTGAGGACCCCTTATCGTTGATGATCCTGATGAAAACATTGAGTCACTCCTTGCATTAAGTTGAGGATCGTTTTCACACCAAGTAGTCGTGGTCATTCATGGTAGAAAATCGAAGCGAAGCTAGTATCAGACACTATCTGAAAGGGAAATGGCTATGGATTTTGCACGGGTTTGGCCTTTATCTGATGTTTCCCTTCGTTGGAAGATCTTAACCCCTTTTTTTGCAAATTTATCATCTTAAACAAATTTTTCATTGCAATTACACAAACTACATAAAAAAGACTCAAGTAATACACTGCCAGATTATTGCTAAATTCCGTTTCTTTGAAATTATCCCAACAGAGAGTAAAGGCAAAGAGTGTATGCTGAAAGAAACTAATCTCCTCTTCATCATTATCTCAATTTTGATACTGTTAACCACCACCACCAGATCCATATTTCTTGCCAAAGACGAGGACCTGCATTTTATCATAGCCAGCCAGAACACCAGCACTTGCAATATTGCGCATAATGTTGGCTCCAGCACCCTTGAAAAGTGACTTTGGACCTTCATTCTTGATGATTTGTGAAAATGCATCCATTGAGCTCTTATATTTGATGGCCTCTCCCGATGTCATCATCATTCTTCTACGCACTGTATCAATAGGATAAGAAGCCAATCCCGCACCCGCGGATACTCCCCATCCCAATAAGAAGCTAGCCAAGAAACTATCCTGCAGATTCCAAATATAGTACCATTACGATAATATCTGAAATCTGGAAATTCCAGTTGACCCTCTTAACTCAGGAAGCTCTCAGAAGGAATATACTCAATATATGCCCAAAATTCCACAGACTAATAGTATTAAAGAGAAAGAAGAGGAATAGGAAAAAAAAAATATTCCAAGGCAGAATGTTACTTGCCTGCAATGAACCGACCAGAAGTACAGGCTTAAAAGAATCATACATTCCAAAGTAGAGCCCACGATAGATAATAATTCCAACAGCCGATATGTTAAATCCACGGTAAAGACCAGCAATACCATCAGTTTTGAGTGTTTTCTTGTAAACATCGATTATGCCTTTAAACTGCCTTTCACCACCCTTTGAGGCAGCCTTAGCATCATTTGCTAACCGTGTTCGGGTGTAATCCAGGGAGTAGACAAGCAGTTGAGACGAAGCACCAGCTGCACCACCAGATGCCAAGTTTCCTGCAAACCACTTCCAGTATCCATCTTTATCTTTGTTAAAGTTAAACATCCTCTTAAAATAATCTTTAAAAGCAAAGTTGAAGGCCTGAAAACATGAGGAACTACAGGCATCAGGGTTAAGGTTAGAATCCCAAGTCAAATAAATATGAATAAACAACATATAAGAATTTGGACTACTCCTAACAAGGTTGACCTTCTAAGATGAACCAAAGTCTTAGCGCTTGTCTGACAGCGCTCTTTGCCAAAATTAAAATCAATTTTCAGACCATTGCCACAGTGAAGTGTGAGAGAGAAGTCAAAAACTGTGGCTGTCAACGGGCAGAAAAATGCTTAAAATCAGGGGAAAAAGTGCTGCCGACATAGCCTTAATATGATATTAGAACTCAATAAGTTCAAACAAACGATTTGATCCCGCTTAGACTCAAACGAGCAAATGAATTCAAAGATTGAGTTGCTCCCACGAGCCATCATTTTGCAGGGCATGTTAAGGGCGAGCATCAATAAATGAGATGGATAATACGTAACTCTTTATCAGATTACAAATACATGCTTTAATATTGTTAAATGTTATCTTGAAGCAGCATTTTGAATAACAAATTTATTGGGGAACTGATCAACAAAGTAACTGAAATGCACTTTTTTAAAAAAGGTTGAACCCCAACTTTGAGGGTCTCCCACTGCCCCGCCCCTAGAGCATCGTGGAGGAGGTAAATCGCGAGATGTGCCTCATCGGGCCAGGGTACAAGAGCTGCCATACTGGTGCCCACAAATAGTCCAATTCCATACCTGGTAAGAGGCAGGAATCGAACCATCACACTGCGGCTGCCAGCTTAGGTGAGACTACCTGCACTTTTTAGAATCTATCTTAAATGAGGACTATATCTTGCCTGATCAATGTCGGCATGGTCAAATTTTAGACTTTCTGATGAATCTAGATATAATCAAGAATTTAAATGAAAAGAAAAACGGACACTTTAAACGTATATTTTAACCTGTGTAGGGAAATATCTGATAACGTTTACACCATTGCTTCTCCACAGAGAAAGGACACCTTCATCCTTGATCGTTCTGGCGAAGCAGTCAGTAATTCCCTTGTACGGTTCAGACAATCGACCAACTTTGATCATCTCATCCTGGTTCTGAACCAAGAGTTTGACTCTCTCAATTGGTGCAGCAGCAGTTTTCGAGACAGCAGCAGAAACCCCTCCCATGAGAAAATCTACCATAAATCTGGCAAATCCTTTATCCTTTTCTGCTGGAGCCTGTATGAGTAGCGGAAACATAGGTGAAACAATTTCCGGGCTAGCTCGATTGCATGATGACATTGTTGAAAGACTCTGCAGACCTCCATTGATATATCGACCATTCAAATTTTCTAAACCAGCACACGTTGAATGCATGTGAGGAGAATTCCGGGGAAATAGAAAAGACTTGACATGTATCAGATGCTGTGTAGCGTCTGTCATCTTTGCGTATTAAGCAAACCCCTGCAAAGAAAAATTAAGAGAAAATATAGCTAGTATGCTAACTGCACAAGACTCCCAATTACAATTAGATTTTTTTTCTTGTTTAATAATGTATAGTATTGCTCAATCTATCTTACTGACTCAACAAGATAGTAGGGTGATAACTTTATTTTGTAATTACATTCTTTGGAATCACTAATTACAAACCATATTTTCTAAAAGAAAATTATATTTTGCAGAAACTTTATACACGCCGCTAAAACTAATTTACCAACACAAGCTCAACATATTTGGTTGTGCTTAAAAGTCGCTCTTTTAGCCAATATGTTCAAAAGCAGTCTAAGTACTACCAAGAAAAACAGCTAAAAGCCAAACATGATTAGTAACATGAAAGCTGAGTTTATCAACGGAATAAGAATATCAGAACACGAACACTACAACTAACCAAGAAAACTAAATCGGAGAGGTCGATCGCATCAAATAAGAATCAACATAAGCGAATGAATTATTTATTTTGATTATAAAATATAAGAGAAGAATAATTGTAGAACCTGGGAAAAGTTTGCTGAATGATAAGAGAGGAAGCAATGAATATTCTATCCAAAATGAATGGAACTCAGGAAATAAGTAGTTTTGATTGACCAGGTAAATTTTGAGGACCAACTAGACAGCAACTTTGATTATGCGTTGAAAGTTCAATGATATGGAACTTAGAAAATTAGTAGTTGTTGACTTGTGTGGTTCTCCTAGNGAATGTTGACTTGTGTGGTTCTCCTAGTCATTTGGTTTGAACCATTTGTGGCCATTGATAGATTGGAGGGCTAGGATTTAATCATGAAAGATATTTTATCATTTGGCTTGTCTTGGAAGCTTCTTGCACGTGCCATTCAATTCAAAATTGGGACAAGACCTTTGAATAAAATAATAGAAGTTAGACCAACTTTCCCTTGACTTTGGCTCTCTCTCTCTCCCTTTTCAAATGCTTGGCCCGTCCCCTTTACATTCAAGAGAGCAGAGAGTTTCATTGCTCTCCTTCCTTCCTTGCAACTAAACCAATCCTTTAAGCCATTGAAGGGGAAAAACCTGGGTATAGCTTAGACATGAAATAGGGTTGAGCTTGTTGGTGTTTCTCGAAGGTCTTAGGTTTGGTTTGGAGGTTGTATGTTGGCTGTTTTTGGTAGATATATTTATCGATGATCCAAGCCACATATTGGTTGTTCTAGCTGGTTCTCTACTCTCTATGGATGGTGATTTTGCAAGATGATGACCCTAGTCAAGGGGAGTGTTCTAGCTGGTTCTCTTCTCTCTTTGGATGGTGATTTTGCAAGACATGGAAGCTGTTCCTGAGCCTACATTTCAGCCGAAAACAAAGGAAGAAGAACGCTGGCCGAAGAGGAAGCTGCACGTAAGACAGGGAAGTTCCTGTCTTCCTTTTTTAACTCTTAATTATGTCCAGTAGATGTTCTATTTTCAGTTCTGATTTCAGTTCATGGTTAGACAGTATCCTGCTTAATTTCAGTTGCTATGTATTGATTATATATTGTAATGTTAGATTACATTGTATGCTGGGATAGTATTCTTGTGATTTCTGTACTGCTGTAAATGTTGTGGTTCGGATAGGGTATATTGAACTTGTTCATTGGATAAGATGAGCTTAGAACTTATTTATACTTGTATTGGTTTCCTTTTATGCTTGTATTGGTTTCCGCATATAGGCTGTAAATTCCCAACAGTAGTTTTGATTGACCAGATAATAGTGAGCCACTTTGATTTTGCTTTGAAAGTTCAGATAATAATACACTTTTGACTAAATAGAACATTGAAATCAAGCACTCGACCAAAGAAAATAGGGATACAATTAACCCAACATGAAGAGGTTGGGGAAAGTGTGGACTGTACATTTTTTCCCCTCGGATCAAGTTTCGACATATTTTCAAGATCAATTAAGGTAGGTGATTTAAGGTTCTTATTGCTATCTCTTTGTTCAAGAATTTTAACTTATAATTAGAGTGTTTGATTGCAAGTATGGAACTTCATGGAAAGAAAATAAGTTTTAGACATGAAAATTATCACTTTAAATATGTTTAATTAGTTTAATTTTCAATTTAAATTTTTTTCTACTTTTCATAAAGTTCAATTTTTGAAAAATGTGAATAGCCTAGAAAATAAAAACTTATTCCCTCCATAAAGAAAAAAAATGTTTTTATTTTTTTTAAGGAAAACATGGGAACGTGACTAACTTTTGAAAAATATTTTCCCTGGAAAAAATGTTAAATCAAACATTCCAAAAATAAGAACTTGAATGAAAAAAATGACATTTTTCATAAAAGATAAAGTCAATCAAACACACATTTAACTCTTTCTAATACTAATAAGCTTTATTAATAAATTATTTAATTATTTATACAAATTTATTTTTGTGGCCGCTATTTAGTGGTGATTGAAATAAGATTTTAGTACGTTTTGATAAAAGTTGATGAACTATTTTGTTGCAAAGTTGTGGGACCCATGAAACATGTGATTAAATTAATTGTTGACTTTAACTTAAATTAAAATTTTAATTTTAATTCGTACCAAGTGGGGGCTTAATTATTTTTTATTAACATCAGCATATTTTCTTCGGTGACCTGAATTTTTATAAGGCAAAAATGCCTAAAAAACAAAACTTTTATTAAAACTAGTCATACTTGAACATGTTGCACTTTATTCTGAAATATTATATGTACCGTAAAAATAAGAAAAATTATATTTGTACACTCCGGAGCATACACCCTGGTTTACACCTCCCTCCATGTGAGAAGGGTGTAAACTCGGGGTGTATACCATTATGTACGTATAGCATTTTCTTAAAAATAATATTGTAAGATGTGAGAATATAAAAAATAATTAGTACAAATTGTTCATGCAAACTTTTGATTCAAATGGAATAAAAATTAATTTGTGAAAACAATCAATTTACCCTTTTGAGTTTTGATCTCAACTGAATATCCAACGAATGTCATCATTTCTTCATATTCGCTTAATATGCATTGAATATACCAATTGAAATTATTTATTATAAATACGCATTATATCCTCTCATTTACCTTATATGGTATTATTAAAATAATTAAATACATATTGAAAAACGAAATATAAGATATTATTGCAAAAAATTAAATTATAGTAAGGATAAAATCGTCTAAATAAAATACGGAATAAAATCGATCCAATTTCGAGCAACTAGAAAAGTGGTAGCAAAACAAGCGGGTAAGCGAACTACTTTATTCCTATCTCTAGGTGTAAAACCCTGATTTGTATTTTGTTTCATGGGTTGGAAAGAAAGTACCTATAAGAAGATAACCAATTTTTTGTTTGACGGAGAAAAAAAGGGATTGCATCCCTAAAACCTCGATATTCTTGACAGACACGTATGGTTTGCTTGATCTCTACTACTTCAAATTTGATAGCGTTTTCGTTGATTGTGGAATCAACGTTTCTCAAGAACGATGATTTTCAAACGATCAATTAGAATCTAATGTTGTCTAAATTGTTAGACATTAATAGCTACATAAGTGCCCACATTCATATAGGTGAGGATTGATAAGTGTAGTTTTTATACTTATTCGAGACGCTAAATCATGATATTTTATTATTTTTTGAATAAAATTCTGCATTATTTATGTTATATTTTATTATATAGGTAAAACTCTCTATTTAATGAAAAAATGAATAAAAGAATGCGAAATAGCGAAAAGAATGGAAAAATTCATAGTACGAAGACTCGGAAGCAAGCAATTAATTGGACCTCAATTTGGACTTCTAATTGGATGCAAAATTTGGCTATTTGAAATTAAATATATAGACAAACATAATATTGGGCTGANATATATATATATATATATTGTGGCTGCTTCCAATATGTACAATGTCAAAATCTGATTTTAATATATATATATATATATTGTGGCTGCTTCCAATATGTACAATGTCAAAATCTGATTTTAATCTACACACCGTCTATATATATTCATGCAGAAGCCGGCTTTTGTGAAATTGAATACTATATATACACGTATAAGTCGGCAGTTGAAGAAGAAAGAAAGGGGGGGCAGCTTCTGGGAAATTGATTATGGCTACTTTGGCTTTCAAATATATATACACGTCATGTTTCGTCAATTTTTTGTGACGTCTTTCTATTTTTACGTGTTTAAATTCAATATTATAAGTGGTCAAATACTTTTATTGTTATAATTGATGATGTAGTTTAATGTTTTTATTATATGTTTAATTTCAAGATTTTCATGCCATTTTAATACTTGTTAATTAATTATTGTGTGTTCAATGCTATTATTTGTTTGCGTAACAATTAATTGAATTAGGGATAATACTGAGACTGAGACGTGATGTATAATTCTAACTCGTGCAATAATTAACATAAACATTATAAGAGATCAAGAGATAATTATAAGTTATGCAATCTTTATTAAATTTACATAGATAAATGCGTTCATATGTGTGTGAATTTACATAAGGATATAGTAAGTTTGGGCATATGAATAAGATTAATGTTGCTTGAAAGAGATCACTAAATACAACGGGTTAATTCGATCGTTAGCACGTACGAAAAATGGTTGAATGAATTGGAATTAAATGTATGATAAAAAAGTTAAGTGCAATCGAAAATCATAACTATCCAATCACATAATCTTACCTATAGTTTTAATTTGAGTTTGTCATTTTAATTAATAGTTTGTTATTATATTTATTAGAATTTCACTTAGAAAACAAACATTGATTTGATCATTAGTTATTATTATAATTTAAATTGAAGTTAAGTTAATTTAAAAATTTATAGCAGATAGTAGTCTGTGACGTCCGATATTTGGACTTAATAAATTCATTTTATTATTTGTCACGATCTGTACACTTGTGGAATTTAACGAACAAGGATCTCATAGTACTCTTCGACCAACTAGAATAATTCTTGATTCTTTCACGTGTCCTCAAAATTCAAGATAACCTTAACGATCTTGTAATTCATCTTCAACAGACGTTCACCTCTAATACCTTATGACACAAGCTAACAACAGTCACACACTACTTGAGTCTGCATTTTCGAGCCATTTGCATATAAACCAATATGTCGAGCATATGTTAATTCCTCCATGCTTGAAAGATCTACCTAATAAGTTTTTATTAGTAAAATTTAAATAAATAATACTTTAATTGAAAAATTATAACAATTGCTGCGCTTTATATTGTTAGCTCGACCCATATTATGCATCATTTACGTTTTGGGTGCGATGGATTTTGTCTGATACGATTTTCTCATTTATTGAACAAATCAAATTCAATTTTGGGTTCTCATTCTTTACACAACCAATCACTCTCTAGGTGAAAAATCTCAAACTGGTAATCTTGAGAACACCCAACTGAAACCAAGCTGTGCCATTACAAAGATGAGTGTTTGAAGCAATTTTTCACAAATTAAATTATGCAATTAATATTAATAAAAGAACCATTATAATTGTTAAAGAAACTGAATTGGGCTTCATTAGAACTTTTCAATGAGATGCTTCGATAAAACAACATAGCAGACAAACAAAGGTTCAAGTTTTCATCTTAACTAATTTATGGAAATTGAGCAGTGCCAAGCTTTCGATAAACCGGTTACCTTTTAAACGATGTGAATCATCTTTAGAAATTGACTTGAATATTTCAAAACAAGAAGTTTATAAGAGACTCTTACAAGGACCATCCATCCAATAACGAACGGATTTTAGGTTTCAAACTTTCTTGCATAAGGATTCGAGCACGAAGTGAAAATAAAAATGACCACAACTACATAATTCAACATACACATATTCACACAATGCTTAAAACAAGAATGTGAAAATGGGGCAATGCATGATGCCCTTTAGCTCAACAATTGTTGACACTGATGGAGAGTTTTCCCCATACATTATGATTTTGAATCATCCTAAAACATATCAAGTGCCTCTCTCCATTGCTCTCTATACACTGGTGGCGATACATGAAGTAAATTTGCAAGAATTATTATAAAAATGAACAAAATTACAATATGTTCTAATAGAAAATGAGACGTATGCAGGAAGATAAGAGAGACGCACCACTTGCAATCGAGCAAGAACCAATGGACACATTTGGAAGGAGATGTAAATGTCGTCCTAACTCCTACGAAGAACACATGGAAGTTCTTTGCTTCACCAATAACTGTTTCAACCTTTTTATTAGTTTAGGATCTGAACACATGTAATCTTGGAATGACTTCCAAAATGATTGGAGCAATTTTTTGTGATCTTCACTTGGGTTAATGTTTAGCAACTTGGTAAATAAGCTTCTCCAGAGCTCGATATTCCAGTATCTAAAGTTGAGAAGTTTATTTGAACAGGAAAAAACAGAAGATTCATGAGGGGACAAAGAGGACACACCGTTTATAATGTGATTTGGGTTGATAAACGTAGCCATCAGGAAATGCTTTCTCTTCAATATCCATGTACGAATTGTGAAGCATCATGTGAACAATGACACACAGCCCGTACATGTCCACCTTACCTCGCAATTAAAACATGAAAATAAGTAGATGCTATCTATATTGACTGTACATGGATCATCCAAAATGCTAAATTTAGTCAAATATACACCTTACCTGAAATGTCCACGCCACGGCTTATTTTCTTGCATTTCAATACAACGAAAGCCTAAAGTTCTACTGTCTCCGATGAATTTGGTCTTTTCAGGAAAAAAACAAAGATCAATTCCTCTTCCCCAGTCGACAAGACAAAGCCCCTGCATTAGTAGTACTTGATACTGTAGTAATATCAACAGATCAACCAGATCTCTATACTCGAAAATTGAAACATCTGAAGTTACCTGATTATGCCAAGGACCACTGCACGTGAGAAAATCATCTTTACTTTCTGTTAGATCATCCCTGTCGAAAGGTCAGGAAGAGACACCAAGATGTCGCTTCAATATATTAGCACAAATGAGTTCATGCAGAGAAAATCATATAATGTTATAGTTATTACATAACATTCTGTATACAATTTTTGGTACTATGAGAAAAGAATTGACCTTAACTTTGTACCCCACAAAGTAAATCACAATGTTTTCCAGCCATACCCTTAAAGGTTCATATTCTTAAAACTTTCCTGAAGTTTTTTTCTGTAAAACAATATGAAAACTAGAGTTGTCTTCCCATACAAGACAACATCCAATACGCATAACAATATTTCCTCTTTATGTGTATCTTTTACAAATTCTAATGCCGTATCTGGTAAAGAAAATGTTCAGTAAAACCCATCTAAATCAAGATCTGGGAGTTCACTGTTTCATGATATGAAATATAAAATGCTACAATTGGGCACCATTAGTTACCTGGAATACCAGATGAGCAAATTATCAGGTTTGAAGTCACCATGGATAATTGCAATATCGTGCAGAATTTCAAGAATGTGAAGCAGCTCTATGGTATAATAAATACACAAAACTTCTTCCATAGACCCACCTATGACAGTATTAGAATTTATAGCATCCTGCAGAGTATTAATATGAACTTCATAAGAAATGAATAAGATAATTTCAACTGAAGAAAATAATGAGATATCCACCTGAAGTGTCCCGTGAACTAAATAATCAGAGACCAGAATGCTGTAGTCAGAATAGAGGTGCAATCTGTGAGCAAAGCCAAAATTCATCATCTGAAAAATGAAGAAACTGAATGAGTGCAGCTTCATGACCAACAGATTTCAATATATATCACAGCCCAATATTCACGTACTTTTTTTTTTCTGAAATCCGCATGTCAAGTTGGCGATACATGTAGAATTCCCAAGGAAAAGGAGGCTTTTGAAAGATTCAGCAGGTACCCCAATAAGATCTTTCACTATTGAGTCCTCATTAAGAAAAGTCAAGAATTGATGCCTTAATTACCTTAAGGGCAACAACATCATCTGGATTGTTGTCAACATATGCTTTAAACACTTGAGCAAATCCACCTTGTACTGCACACCCTTTGATCTGGTACTTATATCCACCTTCAGTCATCATACATCAAAAAAGACAATATAAGTGAAACAGAGAGTAAATCCTCGGAATGTAAAACTGTATGTTAATACATAAAATTGACCAATTTCTTAATGTTATACTTGTGCTTGCCACCTAATGACAGAATACTCTGAATAGAATTAGAATGCATCATCTTCCAGGATAGAATTACAGCATAACCAACCAAACCAAAGATTTAGATTGGCTCTTTTAATTTCATATCAAGATCAGTTTCCTTTTGGATGGAATGGAAGCTAATGGTAATTTTTATATCATCATTCTGTCCTTTCGCACTGGTCAACTCCATTTAACTTCAAATTGTACTAAAGAACCCATTAAATTCAATGTCCGGCTAAATGACCCAAAATGTAAGGCTTGGAAAGCATAAAGCCATTATAAGCAATACGAGAGACGGAAAATCTCTATCCATCGAATATAAATTATCATTTATCAGTATCCTATATATCAAAAAGTATACATAACATTTTCGAAAAACAAATTTTCCAAGGCATAATGCCAACTTTAAAACAATTTATTATCACCTCCACACAAAGACAATGACAATTATGTTTTCCATCAGATGTTCGGATTAAGAGGACAAAATATTGTTGGTCCGAAAACCGTATATCTTAACAAAGTAATTTGAGAAAATAAAAGTTGCAAAAACGAAAATTCGAACACGAGAACTTTCACCCACTAACAGGTCCAGATGTTTACGTGCTCTAATCGCTACTCATCCGTTGAGCACCTATAATGTAGATATTGCTCTAGATCACTAAATCAAGCTTACAACAGTTCATACAAATGTATGAAGAAATGATTTCTTCAAGTGTTTTTCTCTTGCCTCACACACAGAAATGTTTACCACAGTAAATTACACTTCGATCTCACAAATACACACTTAGTACATCAAGCAACTTCTCAAGATTACAAAGACTAAAGAACATATTCGAGAGAGAACACAAGAGATGAACAAAACCCTAAAATGGCACTCGCACACCAGATTGTGTGTAAAATGGCCCAAGATGAGGCCTTTATATGGCATAGGAAACACATATCCAAAGCCCACCAATCAGCTACATGTCAGGTCAGATTCCACAAATTCACAAGCATAAAACGCATTTTCACAAATGCGATTTTTTAAAGTATGGTCAAAGGTTCGGTCCATGTCAAAATAAGTAAGGTAGTCAACCCAGATTTCAATAAATATTGTTGGGGTTATGTTAATGGATCGAGAAATTAAGCACTTCTCTAGTTACAACATCTCTTGTATTTCCCTCTCTATAAAAAATTGAGCCTGTCAAAAACATTTAGATTTAGATTTTAGATATTTTATGAGCTTCCATAAGAACTTCTATATTGACTAAAACTGCACCATGTATACTCAGTCTTACTCCAACTATTCATACATCCTTTTGTTTCAAGATGATATCTCCATAACTCTAATTTAGAAACTGAGATCCACATCCATAACAAAATTGACAACACAAACCCTTCTTTATGTGAGTTTCAGAAAGACTGTACTGAAAGCACGGACATAAAGTATTGTGTAAGCAAAGTAGTTAATAAACATATACATAATTTTGCAAAAAAAGAATAAAAAAAATCTATACATCACTTGGAAAGAAAATGGCAAAAGTACCCTTATGATTCTTCAAACATTTAAGAGATTAATTTTATTTTTTGAAATGCAACTTTGTATTAAATTGGACAATTCTGGTTTCCATTGCACGAATACGAAATCTTAATTAAAGAAGCACAATATATGTTTGACGAACCTTTGAGAATGCAAGTCTTTTTCATAGCTGATTATATGACATAATTTACAGAAGTATTTAATACTATTTTTACATAAGAGTGCAAGCACGTGTAGCTTTCATGTAGCTTAACCACTTGTGTCAAGAATGATAATAGCTAGCCCTCCATGCTGCTAAGAATCATAAATAGGACACTTAAGATATTCTTAGACAATAGGAGGTTGTTTTACCTATGTCAATGGTCTTCTGCCTAGCTGATTTCTACAAGGACAATAATGAAACTTTCCCTAAATATGCTTTATTACTTTGATGGTATCCCTGCAGAATAATATAATTGCCTATCAAAACAAATCAAGCAGAATCTCTATACAACATTCACATAAATACTAGCCAATTCACTTTACCTCATATTTTACTACTTGGGAATTCATCTTCTGCAACGAGTTTTTGAGGATTGTGACAGACCATGGATTAACAAAATTTTTACCATTTTCTGAATAAACATCATTTTCCATCTGAATAAAGAAAATGTTAAGGGGCCTACCGTCAGATGTTGATGTTTGCAAATCAACCAATCAGATATTTTAAATAGATCTCTGATTAGAACAACACAGTGCAATTAGCTATAAATGATTTAATTCAAATGATATTCAAGGAAATGTGAAAGACCTATAGGTATAACTTTACTGTAGCATACTAAAAATATAAACATGTAAATAGATTGAAAATGAAAAGAATAAAGTACATGCATTCTGCAAAAAGAAAAACTAAGTCATGCCTGAGCCATCTACACTCTAAAGTCTAAAGGCTAGAATATGAACCATGTTCAGTGTATGAGTTATACATTATGCAAATATGAACAGTTGACTTAATTCAACACTGAAGAGTAGACTCCATGAACTTGAATGTTGAAGCTTTGAAGAATGATACTTCAATTGAAGAGCTTATTTAAAGGGAGAAAATTTGATACGGATATATATATATATATATATATATATATATAT